CTCCCCCCCAGGGACTGCCTCTGCCGGTCGGCCAGATGATAACCGGACAGGGAAGCACTTCAATAATCCCGTTCTCCCGCAGCTAAGCCGCAGGGCATTTGGCCTCACTTTGTATCTGGTTGTGTTACAGGTTGTCCCTATAGCAGATGGAGGTGAGGTCTTCCCAAAGCAGAGGAAACCCCAGCAGCGGCCAGGCTCCCGAAGCGGGTCCCTGGCAGAGTGACCACAGCACTGCCATTCCCCGCATGCCACTCGTCCCCATCGAGGGCAGGGTGAGAGCCCACTCCCTCCGCTGCACCCAGACCACCTGTCGGCTGCACGATGCCAGGCATCAGAATGAGCTGTGAAGACAGCTGTTTATTTCACGGCAATGATGGGTGGAGGAGGAGAGAGGTCAGGGAGGGTAGAGATGAAGGCCAGCCTGGCCCCTTGTTCTAACCATCTGTTTGCTTACACCAGGTTCTTGTCAGTCAGCCTGGTGAGAGCTGGCATGTGTGTTACCCAAGATGCTGTGTCCATCATATGACTGTCACATGCATTTCCCCCGAGCGATAGCTGGGAACAGAGACGTTTTGCAGACATCCTCATTTAAATTAGTTTGTGATTAATCTGATTTCAGTAAAACCCTACGTTTCCTCCACTAGCCTCCATCAGGACAATATACGCCAAAGCTTCTTCCATTGTTTGCAGTGTTGTTCTAGCCAGGCTGGTCCCAGGAGCGGAGACCCAAGGTGGGTGAAGTCAGAGCTTTTAGAGTAGCAGCCGTGTTAGTCTGTATCCGCAAAAAGAACAGGAGTACTTGTGGCACCTTAGAGACTAACAAATTTATTAGAGCATACGCTTTCGTGGACTACAGCCCACTTCTTCGGATGCATATAGAGTGGAACATATATTGAGGAGATATATATACACACATACAGAGAGCATGCACAGGAGGGAGTTGTCTTACCAACTCTGAGAGGCCAATTAAGTAAGAGGGGGGGAAAAAAAGAGAAAAAAATTTTTAGTTTCTTCTCTTACTTAATTGGCCTCTCAGAGTTGGTAAG